CTAGGCGAGTCTAAATCACCTAGTACCAGTCACGTCCCTAGTTTGAGTGTTGATTAGCATGATTTCAGGAGATTTGATTATATTTTGGAGATCTGATTTTATTCTGATTTTATTTGATTTGATTTGATAGCTGGATTGATTGTATAGATTTATTTTATTTCCTTAATTAGCGTTAGAGACTTTGTATAAATTCACTTGCTCATGGGATGTAAACATACACAGAAATACAAGAAGCCTTTTCTTCTTCTCAAAAATCTACAGTTGCTCAAGGGGAGTCTAGATTAGTCTGTCGACTTCGTCAATCTCCTTATAGTCTCAAGCAGTCTCCCAAGGCATGGTTTGGTCGTTTTCGAACGTTGTCCAACAATTTGGAATGACCCGAACAAATGCTGATCATTCTGTATTCTATAGGCATTTATCTAATGGCAAATGTATTTTTCTAAATGTTTATGTTGATGATATTGTTATCACAGGTGATGATCATGAAGGTATTGCCCAACTTAAGCAGCATCTTTCAAGTCAATTTCAAACTAAGGATTTGGGCATACTAAAATATTTTCTAGGCGTTGAGGTGGCACAATCTGGCAACGACATTGTCATCTCACAAAGGAAGTATGCCTTAGATATTTTGGAAGACATTGGCATGTTGAACTGCAAACCTACGGAGACTCCATGGATCCAAATACTAAACTTGTTTCAGGATAGGGGGAGCCTCTAAAAGATCCAGCTAGATATCAGAGACTTGGTGGCAAACTCAACTATGTTACGATTCACAACACCTGACATCTCATTTGTTGTAAGTGTGGTTAGCCAGTTTCTACGGTCACCTTGTGATAGTCTTTGGAATGCAATAATTCGCATCCTAAGATATGTCAAAAGTTCTCCGGGATAAGGTTTATTGAGTGAAAACAAGGGACATACACACATTGTTGTGTATTCTATGCAAATTGAGCAAGTTCTTCCTCTAATAGACGGTCCACTTCAGGTTATTGCATTTTAATTAGATGCAATCTAATATCCAGGAAAAGCGAAAAGCAAGATGTGGTGGCTCGGTCAAGCACAAGGCAGAATATTGGGGTATGGCATTGGCTACTTACGAGCTTATATGGCTAAGGCAACTTTTACAGGAGATAAGGTTGGAGGGGACGAGCTGACGAAATTGATTTGTGAAAATCAAGCCGCATTACATATCGCTTCGAATCCAGAATTTCATGAAACAATGAAGCATATTGAAGTAGATTGTCACTTCATTCGACAAAAGATTGAGTCCAGGTGCATGTTATGAGTTTTGTCAACTCAAAAGACATTGCATATGCCCTCACAAAATCACTCTTGAGCGTTCAGAATTGGCAATATCTGTAGTAAGCTAGGAGCATACGACATGTACGCTCCAGCTTGAGGGGAAGTATTAAATATGGTAAGAATTGATACTATGTAAAGACAGAAAGATACACAAAATTGTAATTAACTAATTACACAAATCCCTGTAATAAAGTGATTAGGAGATTTTGTAGGCTTGTAATTGTAGTTTTTCCTTATTTGTATTTTTGTCAAAGTTTATTTAAACCCCAGCAGCTTGAGGGAATAATTAAGCACTCTATTCCCCGTCTTTCTTCTCCTCCTCTTTCTCAGAAATAATTGCTGAAACTAAAGTATATCCTTAAACATGAAGTTAGAAAGCCAAAGATGGATTATTTCTTGAGAAACAAAATATTCAAAGGACCTATCAGAAAAAGATAGAACGTTAGCTAGCAAATCGACCTTTACAGTGAAGGATATTCGAAGCTGTATTATGAAGAAGGAAAAGACTTAGGATCGGACAATGTATTGATGTAATAACCCAAGCTTAGTTGACTTCTATTTGCTCTGTTGATATGGGTGAAGGCTCAATTTCATATATACTTTGAGTGTTTGAAATGATCAGGAACTGATTCCCTTTTGTTGGAAATCGATTGAGACATGTTTAATGGGTTTAAATGTAACACCCAAAGCCTCCATATAGGTCTTAGAGGTCATTTGAACTCTCTTCATGTCAAAATATCACGTGTAAATGTTGTTTTAAGAGTTTAATAGGCTAGAAATTCACACAAGTGAACCCAACATAGATTTTGGAGATTGAGTTATTTTTCACAGCTAATTTGTATGGGCTTTCATATTTAGAGGTTGGATAAAGCAACTAATAGTTTAGTTGATAGAATCATGGGAGAACCTAGAAAACTAAAACCCTAGGATTTGAAATATGAGAAAATTGGAATACTGGTGGTTGATAATAGATTCAGCAAGCTACTATGTGGGTGACCTTAGTTGAAGCTTGGCGTCATATTAGAGGTTGCAAGTGAGTGGGGACCCTCTCCTTGGCTTGATTTCAAGGCTTTTACTTTAAAACAATGTGATTCTTACTTGTGGTGTCGGGACTCGGGACATGCTTATATGTGTACTTGGCTAGTTTTAATGGAACTATAGGCTATATATGTAACATACATGCGATGAATGTATTAAAGAATTGTTATTTTATATTGTGAATCATGTTGTACTTGCATATAAGTGATTTATTTTATATGTGATGGAATATAAGCATATACTTGAGATAACTTATCCGACTGCTTAGATAACTTACTAGAAGCATTGAGCATTGTAATAATGCTATGAGGGTCTGTATTTGTTAAGATATGAAGGTACATACTTGAACTACTATACAAACAAACATAATATACTCACCCATGTCGTGGAGCTTACTTATAATCAAACTAATACACAAGACATATATAATGTGCTTACTCCTATGGTGAAGCTTATTTATAACCAACCCACCTAGACGAGGGTTGACGGCATACCAGGGTCCCTAGTTTCTCGAGGATTTGGAGAGCAGTCACCTGGTCAAAAGACATTTCATAAACCTTATTGCTATATTACGAATAACTAGTATTGAAAGTATGGTACTTCTATTTGTATTAGCTAGTGCCAATTAGAAGTATCATACTTGTAGTCGTATTAGCTTGTATATGGAATATGTGCTATGCATGTTTTCAAACTTTATGTTCCCAGTCCGCCTTGATTGGCCAACCATTCACTGAGTCTGTAAACACTACTGTATTGACATTTTGGCACAGACATTGACGAGGCTGCGCTGCTGGGGACTGGCCATCACCAGAGGGAGACTCCAATATTTATTGACTTGTTGCTTTGACTGCTTTATAAAGACACTTGTTCTATAGCTTCTCTTGTACTTAAAGTCCAAACCTTAGGACTTTAGTAAGAAGATATTTGTATACATTTGAATTGGGTTCTCAATGACTTGTTGGAATTTAAATTGTGATCGCATTTAAGTTACTACTTCTACATGTGTGCTAAGTTTCATGTTATATTCGTATTAGGATTAGTAGCTGTCACAGGATCTATGGGCAGCCCCACAAATAGGGGAGATTCTCTTATTCAAGGGAAATACTTGGGCATAGACTAGCTTGGGAGCCAATACCTAGGCGTCGGTCATGGCCTGGAGTTGGGTCATTGATTGGGACAGGTATCAACTTTGTAATCAGAGTATTTAACTACAGAATATTTAGGTAGATGAAAGGAACAACTGCCTACAAGCTTCTTCATAAGAAGTCTCTTGCAAAGTTATGGGATATTTTGACATGAATTTGTTGGTGACCCTTACACTCAAGGATCACTTGCAGAACTGGGTTCACTGTCGGGTCAACCACAACTCGTGGTGTAGTAAAAGACAGATAACATTCTCACTTTCGATAACCAAGTAGGAAACCAAGTAGAGAAAAGGCAATACAAAAATTACATGGTTAGTGCTGCTCATGAGCTATTTAGATAAACTAATGAGAGACCTAGTGGCACTAGAATGTACAATTTCACTTTTTTCGAGATAAAGCTGTTTGGAGTAAAATTGAAATGAACCAATTAAGATAGAAGAGCAAGTAGCAAACATATTAAGAAAAGAGTTTAGACATCATGATGTTTGCACAATTTCAGGAATTGCTTGGAATGATCTGAAGGACAACTGAAGTAGATCCTAATGGGAAGTATTAAAATTAGCAACAACTTAATGTCCAAGATTTACAGTGAGAACCCCTGGTACAAAAAGGAGAACAGTGTGGTAAGAACAGTAAACGGACTCTAAAAGTGAGTACTTGAAAAGCAAATGAATGTAACAAGATTTCATGCAATTATCCCTCACCATATATGCTACCATTGCATCTTTTTTTTTTTTTTTGAATAACCGTGGTGTCAGGGCCAGCTTGCACGCACCTCGACTAATTTTACGGGATACCTATTACCTCCCACCAGCAACAGGTACTAGGTAACTCTATCCACCACGGCTTGGACAAATAAGAAGAAATCACCTAGTGTTTTTTGTCTCCACTGAAATTTGAACCTGAGAACTCTGGTTCTCAACCCACTTTAGTAACCACTAGGCCACACCCTTGGGTGCATATGCTACCATTGCATCTTCTTGATAGGGATGACCATCTCACCATATGCTACCATTGCATCTTATATGTAAGGATGACCATTTCGGTTGGGAATGAAAGAGTAATAATGAGAGTTGATAGAGATAAGTGCACAATGAGAGAAATAGAAAGTTGATAAGGGCTATAATGACTTAGTAAATAGAAACTGAGATGCAAAGCTTGTAAGGCAGAAGCTGATCTTTAACTAGCAATAGCATAATTGAAACTGCAAGCATTGAATTCTCTTCAACACCGATTGACACATGGAGTTCTGCCCACCCTAGATATGGGTTAGCGGGACATTTCACAAAACTGAAAATGTTCTATGCTGATTCTAGAGAGGCAATAAGGATAGAGTTGACACTATCCCAGCGCTAACCACGGAAAGCATGAACGGGTGTCTTCCCTAATCTTATCATTATGACTTGTCGAAGGAAATATAAGGACAACATGCATATTTTAGCTTAAAACCAAGAAGATAAATGAAAAAGTTGAATATATATATCAAGCAATAATACATAGATTTGCAAGTAGTACCAGGGGAGTCTGCATTTGGTTGATACATCAGGAACAATTCTGACCTCACCCGAGGGGGAGAGTGAATTTTCCTCGCAGAGATTATCTGTTATTGAACTGAGTCGCATACATTCAACAGTTAAGCCAAGACCATGCATTTTCACAGAACTATAGAAGCGTTGTTGTGGAACAGCCTGTAAGTGATGCACAAGAAATTAATAAATTTTATCAACTTTTGACTAAAGCAGGGAAATACCGATTAACATTCAACACGAATCATGTTGTAGCGGTAATCACAAAGTCCTGAAAACTTAACCAACGAATGAACTTGTTGTACTAGACCTTGATTAAACATCATATTATATAATAGCAGATCTATGCTAGTGGAAAATAATTTGCAAAAGGATTAATTGGTGTGTCAACTTTCAAATTCCAATAACAAAATGTTCAAATAATCAGTTTGGCCAATCTTAGCCGAGGAGGAAAATTCAAATAATGTAATTAATAATAACACTACAAAGTGACATAGCTAGGAAACAGAATATATCAACTGTTATTGAAAATAACTCACTAAATCAATTGATAATGATAAGTAAACACCAGAGCATTTTTATTTCAAAAAAATAGTAACACCAGCATGGCTGGATTTGTGTAATTGCAGGACTACGCCATCTTTTTTTAAGAACAGGGAATATAGTAAAGCTTGTTCAATCGCAATATATGATATATGACCATTAATCCTTCATGAAATCAATTTCTCACATGTCACCACAAGATATATCGTCTTTATTTTCTGAGACAACTTCCTACTTGAGGTAACATGAAATAGCAACTTTGTGTAGTCATTTGCTTTCATATTGTTATAGTAAAGCAATCTTTCACTAGTTTCTTGATACTCCAATCGAAATTCTCTAATTAGTGTGAGAGCTTTAATCAGACAAAAGAATATGGAGCTCTAGTAGATTAATCTCCATTCTGGTTGTTATTTGTTTAACCATCCAACATATGAACCTAGTAATTAAAACCCAGCCATACAAATCTTTGAACCTCATATTTCTTCCTGGCCTGGGCTAGCATATGGATCTATGCCAATCAATAAGCTTTTGAGAGGAAAAGAAGGAAAAACTAGAGAACGCCGTTTATACACAATCATTAGAGAACATAAACTGTAAACTAATGGGAATAACTCCCTTAATAACTCCTAATTAACATCATTTTTGTTGTAAATTAATGCAAACCTACAAAAGAATGAAGCAACGATTGACGATGTATACATCAATCAGAGGCTAACTAGGCTGGTGGGATGAAATTGCAGTCTATTACCCGTCACTTGTGATTAGGCAATAGTAACCTGGTGTTAAATCCCTACCCTCCACATGCGCTCTGAATTGAACAGGTGGAACACAGGTCATGAGGCTGGCACATACTTACTCCTGTTGTTTTTCTTAAACCTGATAAGCCATCCCATGATCCAGCTTGTAAGTTCAATCAACCATAACAGGATGCTAAAACTAACACCCAAGAGCTAGAGAAATAATTAATGTTCATAGGAAATGCTGAAGGTTTTAGAGATTTTTCATGGTACCAGAAATGCTGAGGATGCAGTTATTTGGAATGGAGGAAACACCAAAATGTTTTCAGTCAGCTCTGCATACTTTTTGCTTTCAGTATCAGTTTGGCCATGAAAATATATATGGAAGATAAAAGCCCCATTTAAGGTCACATGCTTCTCTTGGTTAGTTGGCAGGAAAGCTTGTCTGACTCATGAAGTTTTGCGGAGAAGAGGGGGATTCCTCTGAGCTCCAGATGTTTTTTGTATCAGAAAGTAATAGCCATCTCTTCTTGCATTGCAAGGTAACTGATATATTGTGGCAGTTATTCTGTTCCCTAGCAGGAGTACAATGGGTAATGGCAAAGAATACCAAGGACCTTTTGTGGTTGACATTAATAAAATAAGGAATAGACAGAAGCTACAGTGGAGAATGGTCCCAACTGTATACGGTCGAAATAGATTTCGGCCTTCGCATGTCCGATCGAGTTCGAATGATAATCGATCGAAGTGCGACTTCGAGATGGGTTCCGAAGATGGAACAAGCAAGCTTCGAACCCAAGGGGTCGATCAATGTCGAGTTCGATATTGTTATCGAGCTCGAATCCAAATCGAACTATGACGCAGAGTAAAGCTATCAAGCTCATGATCCAGAGACCAACCAACATTGACCCCGAATCAATTCAAGGGTCCGAGTCAGAATCGAGCTTAAGCCAAAGATCGAGAGCTCGAGTTAGAATCGGGCTCAAGCCGAGATCAAGAGCCCGAGTCAGATCGGACTTACAGACAAAAGCCGTTGCAATCCCACTAAGATGACAGAATCTTGGCAGGAATTGTGGAAATGTTGGGTTATCATGGATCTCCCATTGAGTATTTTTTAATTATATTTAAAGTAAGATCCCTCTACTATAAAGAGGAGTTTTTATCATTTCTGGCAGCAGAGTTTTTGGAGCTCACATTGTAATTGAAGCACCATATTCTCTTATATTCGAGAGTTATTCTTTTAAGCCTCATAAACTGATCCATCTTGCTTAATCCCAAAAAATCGCTTTCGTTACAACTGTGTTTATTTTGTCTTTTCCTTTTATCCTTACAGTTTGTATTGAACTATATCACATATCCTTAGAACTACGAATAAATTCAACGATATCCGTTTTTCGGGTAAATAATTTGGCGCCCACCGTGGGGCTAAGGATAACAGTGGTTATTTGATGCGAATCTGAAAAAACACGCCATTGTGCTTTGCGCTTGTTTCCGAAAATATCTTGAATTTCGGATTAGCTACGACTAACCATCAATCAAATAGCTTCACCAATCGATAGCGGGGCCGGTCTTCAAGACGAAAACAACAACCTGACACCCAGTACTGAAAGACCACTTGTGAACACCGTTGGAGCTCGAATCGGAGCGCCAATTGATATCAATTCGCATGTAGCCATCGAGGCGAACCTACATGCTGAACCCGAGAATAGCATCCATGGTGGCACTCGGTCTGCAGCTCGAGATACTCATAACGTCGAGGAAAACGGCGTTAGCTTGCGTTTGATTTTCGAAATGTTGCAAGCCCAACAGGCAGCAATAGCTCAGTTGCAGAGCCAAACCCAGCTACAAAGCAGGCCGGAGCCCAATCCACCCCGAGAAATCACCCACAGAACGGAAC